GCTTTATTCCCATAAGATATGTATGGTTGAAAGGGATGGATTTTATATTTTTTCTATTTTTATTAATTTTTACTGTACTACTCATGTTTGTTTGCTATAGAATATGCCTCCTAACAATTCCAGGATATGCCAGAAGCATATTTTTTATTAGTACCTACTATGATTTTTAAAACTGAATTAAAAAAAGGAAAGTAATTTAACATAACTAATTATTTCATCACAGCCATCTCCTTCATTATTCCTCCCTCACCTTACCTCACATACTAGACTGCAGCTGATGTCTGTCCAAAGTGGGATGCCACTGGGACATTCTAAGGTTTTGAACAAGCTTGGGTTTGGCTCTGCAGTTTTGGGCATCCATGCATCATTCAAAGTACTTTCATATCTAAGGCAAATCACAGGGGTTCAAAAATAAGACAAAGCCACTTCTTGTTCAGACAGCTTATCTTCAATCTGTCCCCTTGACTTTCCCAAAGTCAGAGATGGTAATGGAGTGCAACACTGAGGCACTCACTCTTTTCTATGGATGAGAAGAGAGATTTCTAAGGGGCCCTAAGGGACATAAATGATAACCTCTTGCTGAAAGTCAGCGGGAAATGGATGGTTGCAATCTCTGTTGGTAAACTTTACCCTTGAGACAGACAAGAGGGACAGACAAATAGGATGGAGTGAGTCTACAAGTAACTATTGGACATCAGGCTGGGAGCAATCTAACACAGTTATCATGAATCTTTCAATATCCATGTCTGTTTATGGGCTTAGTAGAGTGAGAAAGCAGCTAGGGACTTCCCAGAATACTGCATAAATCCTTTGACACTGAACAATATATTGTTATTCCTTACTCTTTTATTTGTCTCCAAGAAGCTCATTTTTACCTATATAAGAGATTTCTTGTGACATTACACCCCTGCTGTGATAACACAAGGAGGCACAGAAGTTTAGGCAAGGACTGCTGGGTTTGTAAAAAGCTATAGTGAATCTATAGGAAAAAAATGAGCTCATCTTTAGCTGATGGGAAAGTGTTTGGTACAGTACTCTTTGAAACATTTCACACTGTGCTGTTTGCAGAAACCCAACTTTCCTTGTGACCCCTTCCCTTCCCTTCCCTTCCCCTTAATATTGACCCTGGTTCCCAATTTTTAGTTTCATCCCATTAGTCCTAGCTGTGCCACACTAAATCAACACTGCACTACTAACTACAGCTTTCTGCATATCATTTTTACATCTCTCAGGGAACTTGGCATCATGTTTTTCCTGTGTTTATTTTTGTAGAGGGAACTTGTTCAACTGGCAACACTGTAAAACCATTAAGAGAGTCCGTCCACTCCTGCTATAGATCACCAGTCCTTGCTTCATAGGATATCCTGCTACACTGCCCTCCCAAAATGTCAGGGCCAGCAAAGAAAAGCTAGTGCTTTGCATAGCAAATAGTTTTTATGACTTACAGTTAATGGACCTTACTATTAATTGGCAGAATTACAACTCCTGTTTAGTTGATGAAAGTAGCTGTCTTGAAAAGTTATTAGGCTTCCTTTTGTTCTTGCTTCCCTGTGTTTTTTCTTTCTCAAGATTGATTACACAGTGACTCTTTGAACTTGCGTCGAATGTTTCCTTTGAGGATCTGCTTGCATCTTGGTTTCATATTCTTTGTTAGTCTTTCAGAATTCCAGCAATCCAGGGATAGTGGAAGGAAAGCAATAAAGAAAAAGCAAAATAATTAATAGTGTCAGGAAAGTATTCCTGAAAAATGTGAGTCATATGGTAATATCAATAACACTGAAAATATGAATAGTAGGAGAAATACATATGCAGCCTCATCAAGGCTAATCAGTTTTGTGAAAAAGGAAAATAAACTCCATGAACAGAGACGTAGTAATTCATAGAGCATCTTAGGTTGTGCAGTGTCTGTATCTGCTGGCTATCCTAAATCAATTACTTCAGTCAAGACATGGTTCCCCTTTCTCTGGGTTGCGGCTGGGGATGGAGGGAAAGCAATTTATTTCAAAAGCTGATTCAGCAAGAAACCCTGCAGGGGCCTATCAATGTACCATTAATAATCAGAGATGCTGTAATGATTATCAGTGGCGTTGTAAATCATTTGCACAACACTATTTATTTTAACATTATTCAGCAATTTTTTGTTTCCTGAAAGACAAAAAGGTTTTCATATCATGAAATACGCTCTCCAGCAGGAAGCAACAAGCTGTATAACAGGCTTTCAAAATACTGTTTCTTCTTATGCTGTATCTTTTCTCTGTGTGTGTGAAATTAACTATTCAAGAAGATGAGGTCCTTATAAATTTGATCTAAACCAGGGATATTAGATGCAGACATTAAGAAAATGTCATGCTCACTTCCACTAACTCATCTTGGTTTCAGTGCCCAATAACCCTCCCTTTTCATTACCCTCTGAAGTCTGGTTCTTCCTTCAAGTGAAATTAATAGAAAATCAGTCCTGGGTATCTCTTGGTGTGCCAGCCTAAACCTCTATTTACTGCATTCAGAAGGCTTTTCTGAAGCACGATTTAACTTAAAAATAATATTGGTTCATGCAAATGCTGATTCAATTATTCCTTGCATTTAATTTAACCACCTTTCTTTTTCTCTTAATGAAAACTCAATACCAATTCAACACAAATTGTTTGGCAGATTTGCCTTATTTGCAAATTCAAAAGCAAGGTCAAAGCAGCAGTAATAAAGCTGTGCCTGAGTTCCTTTCTTACAAGATCTAGATGTTATTAGAAATGGCATTAAAAATGTCAGGAATACAGAGGAGAAAAATGAAAGCTATGAAGTAATCCAGGGGACTGGGAAGCAGCCGGAACGAAATAAATGTTAATTAATACCTTGCATCACACAGGCTACTTACTTGTATTGATGGAGCAGAAAAAAAGTACTGGTAGAGATAGGTCTGTTTGAAATTAATATTTTTAAAACCTCAAGACCCCATTTTTAGCATGAAAAAAAGGACCACTGAATGAGCATGAGTGCAGCTGTATTTTACACAATAGCAAGTAATTTTCCTTCTGTTTTGTTTTACAGTCTTTGAAGAGTTTCCACTTGCTGCATATGTGTTTCAGGAAAAATACTCTTTTTTTGGATAGAGAATGAATTTTTCTGAAAACCTTGAGACTATTTTGCTCTTAGGATTTTTGTCCCACAAAGCCCTTATGCTGAATAAAAAGCCTGGTACTTCCTTCTTTTAGGATTATGTTACTTAAAGACTTTTCTGTTTACTTTGCTGGTGATCATAAAACTGTCACCATCCACAGTTCAAAGCTGGCTTGCTGCTTTTTGCTGTGTAACCTGGAGTGATTACAGCACAGCAGTGGTTCTCAGCTGTTGCTTCTTACCACGACCGACACAAGTACCTCAAATACAAATAATTTTTTTCTGAGAATTAGAGGAATCCCACATATAGAGGTTTTGTGGTGGTTCTTGCTTCCCTGTGTGGTGTTTTTTTTTTTTTGGGTTTTTTTTTTTTTTTTTTGGTTAAAAGGAGGTGTTTGTGAGCCTGCAACTTTGCTCTAAGGCAAGATGTGGGTAACTGAAGTGGTTCAACTGGGTTGAGTTCAGTAAACTTTTGGTTGCTAATTGACTGGAGATGGTGTTTAAAAAACTCTACTTTCAGCCGTGATTCTTTTTATTGACTAAACAGTATTTATTTAATATGACTCCAGAGAGAATGGCTGCCTTTTCAGCTTTCCACAGCCTGAGACGCCACTGCCTCCCCGCTCCTGGGGGTCCAAGTGTCTGCAGCGGAGCAGCCCATGGATGAGGGCAGGCTGCTGGGCGCTTACATCGGCTGCTGCCCATCATCGCCTGCTCCTCCTCTGCAGAGCATTATTCCATCATCACGGCGGTCTTCCTGACCTTTTCGTCCCATATAAAGGCCAAGCAGAGACTCTATCGATCTGGATAGCCCGCTGAAAGGGGCAGAGCAGCTGGTTGTCACCTTCATGAGCTCGCTGGTCTTGGGTGTCCTGCCTTAGTTGTCATTAGTTATTGAAGCCGCCCGGGCCATTAAGATCTACTTAGCAGTTTTTCTACCCACCCTGCCCCTCCAAAACCTGATTCACGTGATGCACTCCCACCTACTTTTTTCCTAAAGGCTTCGCGGCGCGCAACAAAAGCCCCCGCGACAGGGATAACCACAAAGGCCGGGGACTGAGGCCCGGCTGGAAGGGGCGCATGGCTGGGGCCCGGCCGGCAGCTGCAGCCCCCGCAGCGCACCTGCCCAGCGGGAGAGAGCCCGTCTGGATAAACATGGATCTCCTGGGGGCCCGGAGGCCCAGGAGCTGGATTCAGCAGGAATTGGGTCGCAAGGGCAAGAAAAGGGCAGCGGGGGTGGGCGTGCTCGTGGCAGTCGGGAATGAGGGCAGAAGCGCCGCAGAGGCCTCTTGCGGGCAGAAAAGGGGCCGGGGCGGTGCGTGGGTGACAGCACCGACCCCACTGATGGCCTCGGGGACTGCGAGGGTGCAAGGGACTGGGCACTGCTGTCCCGCAGCCAGGGCCGGGCGGGGAAGGGGCGGCTCGGGCACTGAGGGGAAAGGCGGCTGCTCCCGAGGGGCACGTGGGTCTCGGGGCTGTCAGGGAGCCCCAGGGCAGCCGCCACACCCTGGGCGCTTGGGCGGCCTCACGGGGCCAGGCAGGACCCAGACCGCGCCGGGCAGGGGTCGAAGCGGCGGGTGTCGGCCCGCTGGCCGGCAGAGAGATGAAAGGATGTAGGGAGGGAGGGATGGATGGATGAGGGAGGGAGGGAGGAGGGGCGGACTCGCCATCCCTCGCGCCCGGCCACTCGCCGGCCCCAGGTAGGGGCCGCTGATTGACAGCTGACACCGCCCCCCCGGCACTCTCATTGGTCGCTCCCCACGCCGATCAGCGCTCAGCGCCGCCGGGACCTGCTTCCCATTGGCGGGCTCCTCCCCGCCCCTCGCGCAGGAACCCTAAGGGCGGTGAGGGGGCGGGGCCCGAGGCTGAAGGGGCGGGGCGGCGGCGGCTTAGCCCGCGAAGGCGGTGGCGGCTGGAGCGCTGGAGCGGCGGCGGCTGGAGCGGGATGGGACGGAGCGCGGCGCCAGGTGGGTGCGGGGCTCCTCTCCAGCCCCTCGCAGCCACTGTGCAAGGAGGGCAGGAGGGCGGGCGGCGGCCCTCAGAGGGTCCTTTCCCCGCCTGCGAGGAGCGCGGAGGGGGAGCAGCCGCTTTTTAGCGGTCTCCAGCCCGCGGGGATAATCCCGGCGCTGCCCTGCGGGAGCCCCTTTCTCCTCCCGGCCGCGGCGGGGGCGCCGGTGGGTCGTTCGGGAGCTGCTGGCTGTGCTCCGCTGGCCCGGGCTGAGCTGCCCGTCCTCGGGCCCTCTCGCCTCAGCTTTGTTCCGAGTCCTCCGCCGGCCTCGGCCCCTCGCCGGTCCCCGGAGCCGCGGGCGCGGTCCCCTTCCCCCCGCGGTCCGTGCGTGGGGCCGGGGCCGGGCCCCCGAGCTCGGCGCTCGGGCGGCGGGAGCGCGGCGCCCACTGCCTCCGCCGCCCGCCCGGGGCTCGTTCCCCGCTCGCCTTCGCCCCCGGAGCGGCCCCGCCGGGGCTTTCTGATGTCCAGCGCTCTTCAGGTGTTTAAGAAATAATCGTCTTTGGCTTTGAAGGGCGCTGGGAGTCCTTGACAGCTCGGGAAGTTTTAAACCCTTCCCCGCCCCACCACGTTTGGGGTTCTTTTTTTAATTTTTTTTTTTTTTTTTCCTTTTTTTTTTTTTTTTCTACTTGGCTCTTAAGTAAATGTGTCGCTGAGAAGAAGCCTGGAGTCTGAGTGAGTGCAGGCGTGCGAAGACAGGGATTTATCTCAGCTGCTCAATGTCTAACACTGACCTAAAAGCAGTTAAAAAATGCTTTGTTTATGCTCTTTCTTTCTGATATAGTTTCGTATTCGCTGCAGATAACAGGAGAAGGGCTGATAGTTTTGGGTTGAGCAGTAATCTGTGAAGTGGGGCCGGTACTTGAGTGATTGGATGCAGTTGTGAGATTCCCTGATAGAAAACACTTCAAAGCACAAATGGTGTAGTGTGTGTGCTGTTTGTGCAGGAATAGGAAAAAGCCGTAGTTCTTTGTGCCTCTTTTGTAAACTGCAGAGAATGAGGGGACAGTATTCCTATCAGAAAAAGATGGGGCAGATGATGAAAGCAGCCAGGAACTTCATGAAACTTTAAATCTGGGGATGAGGAGGTTGTTTTTTCTTGCCTATCATGCAAGACTGGCCTTCTTTTTAAAACTTGACTTAGAGAATCAAAGACTATTACATTTAGAGGAGACAGACTGTTGTTTTGACTTTGGCTGATACAGTATTTTCCATAAACTAATAGTGAGTGTACTTGAAGAGAGGAATGAAGTAATGGAATAAGGCTGCAGTTCTTATCCTCCAGTAGGCTGTCCCACACTACAGTGCTCTGTAGTTCAGATACGAAGTTATGTGGCCTCTAATACATGGAGGCTGACATGATACAAAATAATTACTCTGCAGTAGTGCTCAAGCTGGAAATCTTTGAAAGTTACTGGTTACAGTGATTGGAAACTTAAGTGATTGAAGATTAAACTCTTGTGTTTGAGCCTGGAACTGAGCTTTGTCAGTTGTTATGCTATGGCTTTTTTGCCTTTTAAGTTCTCATCAGAAGAAAATATGCTAAGATGGAAGGACAGTTATCTGCCCATGGGCCCCAAGTCATTCTTAGTAAGAATTAGGATGTTTTATCTGTAGCTATTCATTTGAGACTAGGACCATACTATGTTTCCCTTAAGTGATGTGGAAACTTGACTTGTTTCCAGCTGAATTCTGGGGATGAGTCGTGCAAAGCAAACTTTTTCTGTCCCTCGCTGGAAGATTAGTTTTGTGTTTATATAGCTAGCGGCAGTATGAATGGAGTTATTAGGCAGTGAACACAGAGGTTTTGTTGTACATGAAATAATGTATAATTGAGCTAGTCCTCTTCTCGTTTTCCATGGCTATTTTCCTCAAATAAAGAGAAAATAGAAAACATTTTTTTATCAGATACTGAAACAATAGTCTTGATTATACTCAATAGTTACAGAAATTGAATAGTCTTTGTTAATCTTCCTATTTGTCCATGGAAGTATTAAAAATTAATTTACATGCCAGAAATAGAACTGCTTGTGCTTTAAAAATGTATTTTCTTTACAGGAATGAATTACGTGGCTTTGTGTTTTATTTACATGGTATAACGCATGTGACATTTCATAGGTAATAACAGCATAAACCTGTTTTGTCTTTCAGTATATGTCTTATCTGTAAAACATGATTTTAGGAGTAGGAATATAAATTCCTTGTATGTCAGCTACTCTTTAGTGTGCCTACTTTAGCTCAGGTTTATTTACTTTATTCTTCAATGAGAAGGTACATGCCATGTATTTTTCTGAAACAAGAATGACACTGTCTGTGGGCAATATTGCTGTATGGAGGAAGGAGAAAGAAAACCCATCATTTGACAGATGATAGAGTGTTCTGAAGTGTCTTATACAGTGATGAGAAGGACAGGGTTTCTGGAAAGCTAACTGAACCAGAGCAGATACTTTGGTGAAGGATTCCAGAAGAGCTGATGGTGGTTGAGTATTTCCATCACTGTATCAATGTGACCTGGACATGAATTAGCTTTCATGCCTTCGCAAGTCTTTCTTTTTAAATTTTATTAAACTTCCTGCATGAACAGTCACGAATTAGTGTACTTTGTTCTTTTGAGCAGTCTCAGAGCACTGTCTTCCAGAGTTCTCTTCTCTTGACTGCTTTGTGTGAGGAAGAAGGAAAAAATACTGCTGCAGGTAATTTCAGTCTGCTCTTGCAGGCCTGTCTTTAGCTGATGTGTACTTAATGTTGTCTGGTAACTGCACTGCAATCTTGTATAATACAACTCTGCTTGGACTTTTCCATTCAAATGGAATGTGTTATTACTTCCTGGTTCATGTGTGGCTCCAGTTAAAATTATTAGACAAGTTGTGGTCGTTACTTTTGATTTGTTTTTATTTTATTTTTGTTTGCACAGGATCCTGAGCTACAGGCAGTGTATCACATGAATTGCACTGCTGGTGTAAGTTACTGACCAGGCTGTGCGTGCCCAGTGGGTTATGATACCAACTTTTGTTAATTATCTCAATAGCAGAAATACATTAATATACAGTACTGATGGGGAGCAATTGCTTTTGTCAGGCTAATTTCTTAGTTCTCTAATCTTAATGGCATGCAGTATGTGAAGATCATTGATAGGATCAGATTACAAATGTCTTCCAGTGTAGGATGTAACTGTGCTTCGCCTTTGGAAGCTTCCCTGTACAAGGAGCATGATGAGTCGCAGGCTGTCACTGCTTATTATCCTAAAAGAAAAGGTGGAGGTGGAGGGTGGCTATTAACTTCTCCATATGGAAGGCTCACATACAGAATACCTGTAATCTAAGAAAAAATAGTGTCTCGACTGAGAATGAAATTGAAGCATCTCAAGCCTTTGCTCTGTAGCAGAAGTGCCGTGGCACTCACATTCTCTCCGGAGAGCTTAGTCTTTCTTTAGAGGTAATAATGGCAATAACCTCGAGTTGCACCTGAATTATTTGTTACATTTTAACCAAATGTTTTCCTTCATGTTTAACTATTGTTTAGAACTAAGCCAACCTTTGAAAAAAGTTGTTGAAATATTGCATTGAGTTCTTTTCTTAACTGTAAAGCACAGTTGTTTTTTACCCCTCTTTTGAAAATTCAAATAACTGAAATATTTTTAGCTACTGATGGATGTAATTTCTTCTGCCACAAGAAGAATCAGAATTCTTGGGAAGAAGTTAAGAAATTTGTACAAACAGCTGGAGATCAAAAAAAAAACAGCCTTTGTGCTGATTTAAGCTGCATACTTGGAGCTTGTCTTTGATTTCTTCATTTCTGGCAGGTGAGGTAGCTGGAGAATTTTTTTGAAGGCTTCTAGGTATGGTAAATATTTGTTGGATTTGCTGGTTTTTATTTGTGTTAAGGATTTATAGGTGTCTGGAATTTCAACATGTTGTGAATTAGTTTTTCCTTTCACATACTGAAATATTCTGCTATTGAACTGATGGTGTTTTCTGCGTCTAGAAATGACCCAGAATGTATTGGGATTTTTTTTTTTTTGGTGGACTTCTCAATTCAGCAGAATTTTAGTTACTCCTTCAAGATTCTTGGAGCCCTTCCTATCTAACAAATATAATCTCTTTATTCTAATAGAGATTTGGTAGCCAAATTCAGTGATAGGGGACAGCATGAGTTTCTACTGAGGATAAAGCATAGCATGCCACATTTATTAAATATATTGGTTTTGAGTATTCATTATACTCATGCCACTTGCATGCTTGAACTGATTTACATTTTCAAGTATATGTTTTAGAAGCAGAGAAATTGAGTGTTATTCAGTACTTCAGCTGATGGATCCCAGGTTTCTTGGGCATATTCACAGTGGCAAGCTACTTTGCTCATAACAAGTAATAGTTGGAGAGCTTGTGTGTGTAATGGGTGATGCCTAATACATCAAAACATGTTAATAGTATCCACTGAACATTGGAATTAATTTCTTGATGTTGGTTTTGAAATCCCATAGTTGAAAAGGTTGATATTGAGTGATGCTGAGGAAAGCCATTCATTTACTATGGACTTGGAGTTGTTGTAACAGAGCAACAGGCAGCTGTGGAGACTAATGTGCTAGAAGACAAGGCCTGCAAAGCTTGTTTTATTCTGAAACTTCAAACAGCCTTTGGAAACACTTCTTCGAGGAGTTCTTCTGCCTCATTACATGTGAATGGATAAATGAAGTTTGAACTTGTGAATTAAAAGGGGGGCTTTAGTGGCAATGTGGCTTTTTAGTTTGTTTTTCTGCAGCAGTTAGGTCTTGCTGATGAGTTTTCTATACAATGTTGAAATTCTCTGGAACTTATATCAGCACAGATTTACTGCAGAGTTATTTCCTGGGAAAGTAGTGTTTTTCTTTATAAAGCTTGGCTGCTGCTTTGAATGCTTAAACAGCTGCAAACATGGACAAGAATGCATCACTTCAAATTAAGCCTTTGATTTTGTGCTGAATTTGAGGACACTCTTGTATCAATGTTTTTTGCACATGCAATATTGAAGTTTCTTCTCACCTCTGCTTGCCAGCTTGAGCTGGTGTGGAGCTGCAGTTAAATCTGAAGTCCTATTTAAAGAGGACGTCTTGGTACAATTATACAAGTGGTTTGGTTACAATGTCAGGTAATTTAACTGAATAGTAGGAGAAGGGTATTTGCATTACTAGGCAAGCAGATGTGCAAGCCATGTGCTTTCTATCCATTCTTCTTTTGGCAGAAGGAACCAGGAACTAGCATTTCAGCAGCTTTTTTTTTTTTTTTTTTTTGTCCCTAGATGGAGGAGATCCTGTCTCCTTCTGCTCAGCCAGCTTGCTTCTCTTGAAGCTTTCCCTTCCAATCCTACATGTCTTGAGCATGTTCACTGTAGCAGTCGCTATGTTTATGACTAGTAAAGAGTTGTGAAGCTTGGGCATGGTAAGTGTGATATACCTGAAGGTTGAAAGGAGGAGGTGCAAATGCTTTCCAGAGGAATGCCTGAGAACACACTGAGGTATAATCTTTCAGCCCTCACATGAAGTGTAGCTATTATAACATTTGCCTCTGTCATCAAGCACTGCTCATGCTCTTGTAGACTATGCTGAAATTTCAGGTGTACTTTGATTCAGGGTGGGTAGCTCCACACAAGCACACAGTGAACATTAGGAGCTACACCTAGTTATAGCTCAAGCTGTTCATGCTGTAAAGACAGACCTTCATGTCTAGTTGCTGAATTTCTGTACTGGATTTGCACTGGTATTGACAAGAGAAGCTTCCATGTTGGTGGACTAATACGTGGTTAAGTTTTTAGCCTTAAGGATTTTTATCATCCTGAAATAGCTGCATCTGAAATACTGATGTAACATCATTGAGATTCTGATTTTTATTTTTTTCTAGAATACTTACCATCTTACCAGAGAAAGTGTGTGCTTTGCAAAGTCTTGTTTTGGTTTCTGTACTAACAATTCTGAGGTCCTTGGATCTGCAGCTTGCTGTCATGCTTGGTCACACAGCTGGCTGAAGCACTGTCTGACTAGTTGGCTTGATGCTGGAGCAGGTTTAGCAACCTTCAGTAAATTCTGTGTCTTGGAGGGTCATGGCAAGTTTCTGTTCAGTGGGATTTAGAACTCTATTTGCAAAAACTGGGGAGAGGCAGGTAATACTCCGAAGCTGGGGAAAATTTCAGAGCTTCTGTTGTCTTAGCTGCTTGGAATGGACTAAATATTTTACATTATTTAGTAAATTGGTCCAGTTACTGTTCCTATGTGTTATTGATGAAGGACAGAGTCAAATATTGTAACAGACTGAACTCTCATCTTAAACCTCTGGCTTTCTGAAATGTAGAGAAATAAATCTTATATAGTATATAGTCCAATCTGCATGTTTCTGTTAGCCATTTTGTCTCTTAGTCTGAAACTATGAGGCAGCAGTGAAATAACCACCTTTACTGGCTGCTGTGTATTACTGCTGCCTGTGACAACGACTGCTGAAACCCCAAATTAATTTCCTTCTCTCCCTGTTCCATGCTTTAAAATGAAGCTGTTAAATGTTTTGTGTGCCACTTCCTCATTTGCATTTTCTCTTCCACTTCCTCTTGCTGCAAACACTTGCTGATGCATTTTTTCTGAAGTCTTTTACTTCCCTTCGAAACTTGCTCCTCTATCCTAGTATTCCCTGTAAAAAAGACAAATATTATGATGAGCTTCTGCTTTGTGTCATTTCTAGTAAAACCCACTGATGTCTTATTTTTAGATAGTGAAATACTTGGAGATGTAAAAAAAAAATCTCCAGCAAAAGCCACAACAAAAAACCCTTCCCAGTTGCCACGTACATCCCCGAAAAAATTTAAAACGGAGGGAAGTAGATGCAAGACATGAAGTGTAAATCCTTGCCAAGTGTAAATCCTTCTTCCCTTAGCTGAGTGAACTGCTTACTATCAAATTTCTTTAAGCCACAGAATGTTGGTTTTGGCAGGAACATCAGAAAGAGTTTTCTTTCTTTTAAACAGTTGTTGTTTGGAAAACAAGCATATGTTTGGTATCATCATAGACTTCTAAAAGAGGAAAAAGTGATTTTATTTTCAAAACATATAGTAGAACTGTATTTTCAGCAGAATCAAATGATAATTGCTTCTGGAAGCTTAAATATAATAGTGTGTCCATACAGTGGGTTTTCAAGGTTGAAACAATAAGCACAGTTAGCCCCAAAGCTGCTAAATGCTAATCCAAGCTTGGCAAGTGTTTTTCTCAGCCAACTGAGCTGAGGAAGTTGGAGAAGCACATAGGCAGCCTGTAATAATCCAATTTTTTAAAATGAACTTAAATTTTGAGGTTCAGTTATTAGAAATGCAGCCTTATTTTGTACTTCTGGTAATGATGTTGACTGCAAGACCTGTGACTCCGAATCCGTAGTTTGAGTATCCCCACTATTATTCATCCTGGTGGAATTATTGCTGTTAATGCTTTTGAATATGAAGCATTAGAAAGTACATTGAATTAGGTTTTGTGAACCTAAGGGATGACAGTCTAAATAGTGAAGCTTTGATTTGTTGGTCAAAGATAACTTTGTTCATGCCTCATCACAGAACAATAAGCACAGCATACAGCAGTCTGGGTTACTCAGATAAGTTTGTGTAGGTTCATTCACTTATAGGGATAGGCTAAGAAAGGAGAAGAATGACATGTTCTAGCACTGAGTGGGAAACATCAGGAGATTGAAATGTGAGGGTGAGAAGTATGGATGTTCAATCTAGAGGAGTAAAACTAGTGAATTTAATTGAGGGTTATAGAGGGTTGTTATAATCTCTTTAAAATGTTTAACCTGATACTTTAGAGCTAAAATATAAGTGGAAACCTTCAAACAAAAGCTTGTGTGAAATATGAAGCTTGAAGGACACGAGTTCTTTTGTCAGAAGTGTATTTTTAAGGTTTCTAAATCCACTTTGAACAAAATACTAAAATAAATCTAACTGTAGGAAGATAAGACTGTAGAAATAATTGAATTCTACTGTGGATTAGTTAATTTGCATTATATTAGTAGTGTTCTCTGAATATGCCTTCCATACTTTTTTTGCTCATTTCTGCAGGTGTATAATGAATTGTTCATCCTCTTTTCTTGTTCAAAGCATATAGGATGATTTAAATGATGATTTAAACTTGATGATTTAAATCAGATTCTTATTGGATATTAAAAGAAGAACAGACTTGGCCAAAGTGGGAACCTTAAGCAGTATGTTTTTTGTAGGCTTGAAACAACTTTTGGTGAGTCTGCATATAAGAGAATGTGACCTATGGAACAGCTGGCCTATAAGAAGTAGTTTTGTTGCAGAACAGACTTATTTACATGTTAACTTGGTAGTAGGCTACACCTAAATAAATGCCTTTCTCAATGGCAAAATATCTCTATACTGTTGTTATACTTGAAAATGAGGTAGTTGTGAAAACATTGAATCTTGAAAGTGTTGAGGGCAGTCATCTCTTTAAAAAAGTGGGATTCCCATGATAATCTGCAGCAAGGTTTTCTGAAATAACAAAGCCAGTATTCATCTGCACTGTGCAGAAGGAAACACAGTATCATTTGGGATCAGATGATAGTTTTAAGTGGTACTTTATAAAGGAGGCTTTGAAAAAAAAAACAACAACAAACCCCAAACATCAACAAAAACCTCCAAACAAACCATGTTCCGTGACTTCTTGGATGAGCTGTTTTAGTTCATTTTACTTGATGCAGAATTTGTCAGAGGTTTTATAACCTGTAATAACATGAATGGTCAGCTCAAATGATTGTGGTGCTTACGCCTCCTGAGCACTCCTTGGTCATAGAGGTCACATCTGAAGAGCTACATGAGCAGTTCAAACTGAGGTCAGGTGTGGTAGAACAGTAAAGGCATCAAGTTCTGCATCTGCTGTGGCTTTACTTGCAGCCTTCCACCCATCTGTAGTGCATGTGCTGGTGCTCTTTGAACTAAAGCTTAATGCATGGCATATCAGTAGTTTTAATTGAGCCTCCCTGTTTGGTTGTATTTTATTCCTGTACTGCTCTCTGGCCAGCACCAAGCAGCTGTTAAATAAAGAGGGAAAGAGGAAGCCATGTGTCACAGCTGTACAGCTCTGGTCCTGCCCTTTGGGAAATGGAGCTGTTACTCTTCAAAGCATTGTGTGGCTTCTGCACTTTATATGGAGGTGGGAAGAGGTGGATTTGAAGCTGTGCTGGGTGTCCTGTGTCTTTTCTCTCTTCTCATCCCAGAATGAAGTGGTCAGTAATATCCAGAATATCGTTGCTTCCATTTCCGAATGTATGGCACACATTGCTCTGGAGCTGTCAGCTGCTGCCTGGGCAAGCATGGCATTGCCCTGGGACATGGCATCCCTTCTTTCCTGTGACACATCCTCTGCCTCCACTCCTGCCTACATAGGGTTAAACAGAATAGCTGCTCTTCAAAGGAAAAAAAATTCTTGCATGTTTATTGGCAGCCCATGTCTTTCAGCAACCAGTTGCCACATAAAATGTTTATTTTTTTTCCCAAAAGTCAAGATAATTTGCATCTTACATGATGTAAATCTGTATTTAATTATTGGAAATCTAAATTATTTATAGTTTTCAAAATTTTAATAGAGGAAGGCAAAATTGAAATGGGTATTTTCTGGTTGTTGGAAGACTGAGGAAGGGATGCAGACAAGAAACCAATCCAGACTAGGATAATTTACCTGCAGTCACATTATTATGGAGATATCTGAGATGTATATAGTGTATGTATTAAGTAATTTAGGTTTTCTCTGTGGTCACATCATATCTTAGTTATTGTTTCTAAATCTGTTGATGGAAATTACTTTGTAAGATGCTGGGTTTGTGGCAGCTGACTGCCTCTTCTTCCCCCCAGTAGAAAATACTAAACATGGCTGTGAATGTCATAGAGAAGTAATCTGAAGGATAAGATTTATTGAATTTATGGGAACATGTAGTATGAACAGGTAAAACTAGTCTCTTTAGTTAGTATCAAATGTATGGTGTTGAATGTGATGGTAAGGCAGACCTGGATGGGCTATGTGATTAGGATAATGAAGTAGATATTTTTCATTACCCATATTAAAAAAGTATTTTAAAATTCCTTTTTATGAAAACAGGTCTTAATTAAAACCATAAAAATCCCATGGTAACAGCAGGCATGATTGTTTTAAGCCACTTCAGCCTTCTTTTCAAAAGAAAAAGTGGACTTTATTTCACATACTTCTGGATTTCTGGTGATTTGTTTGATCTTCCTAAACTGCTAAGCTCCTCTACATTGAGTGAGATTTGAGGTCACAGATCCATGCAAAACTGCTTTAGTTTAACTGGCTTATAAATAAAAATGTTTATAACAAAAATGACCCAAAAGAAACAAACAAAACTGTCTGTTGCATCTGGCCCTTTAAAAAAAGGAGAAGGGAGGGAAAAAAATGTAGAGAAACTGGGATAGACCTGAACCATGTAGCTAATGCTAAGGTATGCCATTCTCTTTCAAGAGCAGCTTTCCAGCTGGGATGAAGTAAGGAGTAATTAAATATGTAAGTTTCACCTGTTAAAATGCTTTCACTTCTGTCCCTCCCTTTTCACCCCCTTATTTCTTTACATAATAATGTCCTTGATTGAACCCCATAGGTCAGCTGTAAGGAGTCATTAACTTTGAATTGCATTGAATTTTAATTTTATAAATGGTGGCTCTTTAATGATTAATCTGTATG